CCAATAAGTGAATATAAAACACATATTTATGATAATTGGATGCACTAAATAGATGTCTAGGCGATGTTTACATGTTCCTTGGATATAACATTTTGCGTTACAAATGTAATTTTGCTCAAGTATAACAGGTATCACCAAATTCAAATTAAAAAAAATACCAGGATCCGTTTAATGGGCCCCGCAACTATCATTTTCAATTTTAGACACAGTTCGGCCCTGCAACTAGTATTTTATAAATTTACATACATAGCATGACACTGCATTTTGCGTGATAGCATTTTAGCCCTGTAACGAGAATTTTGTCATAGTAGATACACGGCCCGCAACCAAAATGTTATCATTGTTGATACACGGTGTAGCCCTGGAACTAGTATTTAATATTTTTGATAAGCAGTTAGCATTAATTATACACATAATGCCACCCTACAACTTGTATGCTATTATTTTAAACACACTGTGCGGCCCGAATCATTGCTGGAATTACTATTTACACCAAAATTGGCGGCATTAGAACTACGAACCCATACAATAACAAGACTCAAACGTGAATTGTAAAATCCTAATTATCAACTTGTTTCCCAGCGAGGACGTTCCCAAAACGTGCCCTCCCTCCAATTTTACAATGAATTGTACCAGAGCCTCGTTCTCGATTATTATCCGTGAAGTGAAGCATCATGGATATGTGATTGATATTTCATTACCTCATCGTGTTTGATATAATCTACCGGCGCTCGTAAATCCAAAATAAAGTAAGATTTATCTGACAATAGCGTTAATCACAACTTATCATCAATGGAGACGGCTTCATTTTCTATTATGTGCGACCTACTTTTTCTTTTATTATTGCTATTTTTTATGTTGGTTTTAATGTCAGATTACAAAAATAGGTTACGTTTGTTTTCAGAATGGTTCACTTTTCTTTGATATATAAATCACAACATCTTCACCGTGACGGTTTCAGTGTTCCGCGCGAGCAAACAACCTAGAGTTTTCGAAAAATTGTAATGTGTGACATGATTGGCTTGCTGGGGAGAAGTTGAGAATATTGACCAATCGGAAAGAACTTCTCAAAGATGCAATGCATCGGACGAGAAAGTGTCATTTTAGCATTGGTTTTAGATACACAATGATGGTGATTACATTGTCTATGATTTATCAAGAACTGAAAACATATTATCTCGAGTATTTGTCCATATCATACTGTAATTTGAGTACTAGTACCGGTATGCACGGGGTTCAATAACACCGGAAATCGAAGCTATACATATATATCATATCCGACAGATATGCACTTCCGGAGTTCGAATTGATTTTCGACCGAACATATCCGATTGCTATTATGCCTGTCACATTTCATATTACGTGATTGAATTTATTAGTCTTACGCATATCACCAATGGTGATACACAGTGTACAGTACCTCTTGACGTGAAAAAACAACAACATATTTCTCAGTTCGAGATAGAAAATCTAAAAATCCTCGTACTGATTGTATGCCAATTTATAATGATTACTTGTGCTTGTGCCAAGGTTTCCTTGCAAATTCAGTCAGATTCAAGGCAGAGAAGATCATGTAAAAATCTATTGTAAATAAACTCTTGTCAATCACAGTTGATAATTGTGATCACTTCGCTTTCTTTATTTTTGGCGTTCAGCTAGTAATACAATATTACAATTATTATATTACTAGTCTGAGCTTAGCGTGAACGACGGAAACCTAATGGCTTGCTGGAATTCTAATTAACCAAGGTATTCTGATATCATCGCTAGTTGAAATTAACATTGGTTCGTTCTTTAGTAGTTCGTTTGTCATTCATTCATTCATTCATTCA